TGAGATCTCTACTCAATTCGGCAAACATGGTGCCTCCGTTGCCATCATGGGCCGCCGCAAGACCATCCTCTACTCCGCCGTCTCCTACCTTCAATCCCTTGGTATTCCTGTAATATTCTTTTTCCCTTTTCTCCTTTCCTTTTACCTAATCATTTTTGTTCATTTCTTTGTAATCAGCGCTTTTACCAAGCAGTAGCTGTACGCTGTCCTTTTACCTGATTTCGCTTGTGATCATTTAGGGTTATATATTTACAAAGTACAGTTATTTGGTTCTTTGCCTTCGTACAGATGGGTCAGCTTATTTATCAGACGATTGAATCAAAGTAATGTTGCTTTACCTTAAAAGTGCCACTTCATCAGTCGTTTAGATTGGATCTTTATCGTTTTTTATTTAGAAACTTTTTAATGTGTTTTTTTTTTTTGGGTAAATAACAGAATTTTATTACCAAATGGCGTTCAGTATAGGTAACAATAAAATTGCATATGGACAACCCCAATATGCAGTAAAAAAAGAAATAGCAACAACTCATCAAAACTACCAAACAACTTATCTAACAATCTGCACCATCAAAGATAGAAGTTAACATAATCACTTTGTCTTTAATAACATGTTCTTATAGGAATGTGATGCCATAGAACTAAGGGTACTTTTGGTTTGTTATAATATTAAACTTACGAGTCTAAAGTCCATTATTACTTAAACTCCATGCACAGTCAAATACAGAGGGACAGTGAGTACTACTTCAGTTGTGATAGTGTCGTCTTACCTTCCTTTGTTTCCATTGCACATCACTAGGCAATTGGCTTTGAGGGGGACGTGCGAAAGCAAGAAGATGCAAAAAGAGTTGTAGAGTTAACTGTCAATCATTTTGGGAAGCTTGACATTCTTGTCAATGCTGCAGCTGGCAATTTCCTTGTATCTCCTGAGGATTTGTCTCCAAATGGCTTCAGGACAGGTTTGTTTCATAAAGATTTTGAACAGATTATTAAGCTTCTTATGTATCAATGCACAAGTGAACCTTCTAAGACCTTAACATCCTGCTGATATGTGCAATAAAACAAACCCCATTCAAGTAGGAAGGAAAAGAAAGACGGACAAGATTAGATGACGAGTATTCAATAGATTCATAGCAACATTCGTGAGACCTTAAAATTCATTCGTAGTTTCTAGCCCTTGGTATATTAGGAGCTTTTCTGTTCCAGTAGCTGACTTGGCTTAAAAATCGTTAGAATCACCTCTATTAATTCTGGCCAGCTTCTTCAACATGGCTACTATTCTTGAAGTCGATTCAATGTTCAAAAAGGTGAGAGGTTAAACACAGAAACTAATAACTATGTCTGGACATGAGTGTGAAAAATTCCTCTCCAAACCTTCTGTATTGTCAGCTTCTCTTAATCTATTTTCCCAAAACAAGCGTGGAAGAGAGGAAAGTTTTCCTCTGTTTCTCCATTTATCTCGTGGGCTTATCAAGAAGCGTGAGGTATAAAATGGAGGTTGAGTGAGGGGAGTGCTTGTGTAAGAAAAAGGATAGGATTTACCTGCCTCTCTGATTTGAAGTGAGGAGAATGCTTTAACAATATTACGTATTGATTCTTTTGGTATGCTCATGATGGCTTTTGCAGTACTAGATATTGATTCTGTTGGTACATTCACCATGTGCCATGAAGCACTTAACTATATCAAGAAAGGAGGACCTGGGAGGAATTCGACTTCAGGTGGAATAATACTGAACATTAGTGCTACTTTGCATTACACTGCATCTTGGTATCAAATCCATGTAGCTGCTGCCAAGGTTTGAAGTTTTAGCCTTGCTTCAAGTATAGTTTGTGTTCATTTTTTATTTTTTATTTTTATTTTTAGTTCTCGTTTGCATCATCTCTCTCTGCAGGCTGCTGTTGATGCAGTCACTAGAAATTTGGCTCTAGAGTGGGGCACAGACTATGATATTAGAGTCAACGGTATTGCACCAGGCCCCATAGGTGATACTGCTGGCTTGCGTAAACTTGTACCGGATGAGATAAACATTAAGACCAGAGAATACATGCCTCTGTACAAACTTGGGGAGAAATATGATATTGCCATGGCTGCTCTGTACCTTGCATCAGATGCTGGTTGGTACCTGATGCTTTTTATACTCGTACTAATGTATGATGTGTTAAATGGGTCATATTGATATTGATGATACTAAATGAATTTCTAGATATGAAATATTGATCGGCATAGATATATTTTATCATTACTGACTTGGTTCATATTAGGTGACATACAGTTTCTACCTCTACCCTCACTCTTGCCTCACCACCATGTCCAAGTTCACTATTGCTGTGACCAGTTGGTGTCAATTCTTCCTATCCTCTCGTGGTGTGTCTCTTCCTGTCACTCATGTTCAGTAGCTTTTGTAATGAGGAATTCACTTTGCCACTCTTTTGCTCTGCACGGGATGGTTGGACTTACTTGATTGACTCCCGCTACCACTTCTACGTTTTCCTTTGCTTCGGGTAATATATGCTACCAATAAGGAGAATGTAAATGCATTCGGTCCGGATAAATCCACAGCTTTTCACTTCATCTTGGACATCTATGTGGAAATCCATATTTGAACTAAATGCTTTTAACTCCAACCTCGAAATTTGTGTGTGAAAATCCATATTCAAGCCTGCTTTAGCTCCGACCTTGAATATGTAAGCGAAAATTCATATCTGGACCCACAGCTATTAGAACTGACCTTGAATTTGTATGAGAAACTTCAAGAGAACCAAACCCACTGGTTCAGGAGAGCAATGGGCGCCGTGATGTCGGTCAAAACTTCGAACCTACTGATAATACATCCTGAATCTGCTGCTGCCTCCAACGAAAAAGAGGAAGAGAAACCAACCATTGTTTATCCTTTACTTAAAACATGTTTGTCCTCTTTGATGACTGTTGCGGTTGTATAGAACCTTGCAACTGTGTTCGCAGTTATTTGATGATCTTCTGCGTTTACTGTGAGATAAGAGCGTGCTATAGTTGGAACTTGGAAGTGCCTATCTTGTTCATAAACCTGCTTTTATTGCTATTTCTCCTTAATTGTATTGGTTTTAAAATGTTTATAAACATGGCAATTGAAGAAAGCACGTTGCATACTGGAAACCATATTTTTTTTCCTGAAAAGGATGCAAATTTACGTGCATGCAGTTACTGCATCAATATGGAACATCCACTTTACTTGCATTTTTAGGCTAAATCAAGACTTCAATTAGAAACCCTCGATTTGCTTCTTGCTTGTAGTAATATCTTTTTTACTTTCTTACATATGCTTCCTGCATGTAGGCAAATATATCAATGGAACCACCATTATTGTCGATGGAGGACTCTGGCTGAGCAGACCTCGACATCTACCTAAAGATGCAGTTAAAGAGTTCTCTCGAACAGTCGAGAAAAGATCAAGAAATGCACCAGTAGGAGTTCCTTCCAGCAAGCTTTAAGTGTATCAACTATATTTATAAGACATTGTGGTTCAACAGCATATCGGGAGGAATTAAAGTTTAGCTGCAGCAAAGAACTTGTTGAAAACCTTGACTACATTATTTCTGGCTAGCGTCCATTGACATAAATTTAAGTATATAAACACACAATTGGAAGTGAGTTTATTAGCATGTTAAGCAACTTCCTCAGCAGCTAAAGTTAGTACTGTCTTTCTCGTGAAGAAAACAGTTAGTACTATCTTTTTGTTTTGTTTATCGTGCACTAGTAAATAAAGACAGGTAGCCAACCAGTGCGTGTACATTTTTTAAGAACAAAAGATTTCCAGCAGGTGTTTCAATTCATGTCCCAAAGCATGCGCTATTCGATTTTCTCTTGCCCAAGGACTTCTTTTGTCCTTGCACCTGATCCAGAGATGCGGCCACATTTCAGGCACCTTCCCCTAAACAAAGCTGTTGGCAGCTAAGACGCTCACAATCCCCTCATCAGGCTAAGACGCTCTTAATGAGAGAAGGTCGCAAGATAAGGTTGAATTCAACAGTAATTTGTATGAATTATATTTCCAACTAAAGGAAATGAATAGTGTAATTGTAACAACACATTCAATAGGAAGACGCCAGATTTGGATTGACTACGGTATTATTACGTTCCAAAAACCATCATAGCTCATTCCCTACCCCAAAGGGAAGGATTAAGCAAGAGCTGAGATATGGTTGCCAAAAACTACAATAGAAGTCCTAACAGATTCCCAATCTACTATTCCGCAGAAGCATTGCTAAAACTAAGTGGGCTTGGGAACATAGTAACTCTTAGAAGCTGAAATTGTTGAAGGGAAAAAAGCAAGAGCCAAAAATTTGAACGGCAGACAGAAGAGAAGATGAACAGCGGACACAGCGCAAGCCCAGCAGCATTCGTGCTACTAGTGGACACAGCGCTAGCCCAGCAGCATCCACTAGCAGCATTCGTGTTGGCTGTTGAATTGAAACCTGTGCACGGACGTTCTAACAGTACATTGGCATGAAAAGATAATTATTTTCCCTCCCCTAACTCAGCCTAAACATCCATTTGCTTTCTCAGCAAATATAAGTCCAAAGAGGTCATTGCTTGACTTCTTCTGCTTAAAGTATTGAATGAGCTCAGTAGTTTACACTTTTACACTGTACAAAAAGAAATTACAATGAGACTTTTCTTTCTGTCTTTCCCCTGTTGTTCCACAGCATTCTCGCCCCTTATAAAAGTTAAGCCAAATATTTCCATGGAACAGCTATATCAGAGGATACTAGATGCAGGATTCTCTCAGTTCCTAAACTTTAAGATTCTACTCAGCTCACAGCGAAAAGCTGCTCACCCAAATTTTCATTTTCATAGGAAAATAGCATGTTCCTTTTGAGCAACTATCAATGTCAAAGCTCAGACATCTCCACGGGCCCAAAGAATGTTCGATCCTTTTCTACTAGCTCCAGTTGAGGCTTTTCATAGCAGTAAATATGCCTGGACAAGTTAAAACACCTCAACAAACCCTGCAATTAATTGTCAAAAAGAAATTATTAGGGTACATTCATATATTAACAAGTAGTATTCTGACTTTGAAAGGAAAGATGAAGGAGGATGAGAATCACCTCTTCTACAAATATCTATCTATCATTCTTCTCTTCCAGCTTCATTTTTTCATAGACATGGCTTCCTCAATTTTTTTAATGACCACACTCAGACTGCATCCACTTTCAATAGCTTTTACCGCAGCTCGATGTGCATGTGTGTGCCATTTCAGCAGATTATAAGATTGCAGAACCGACCACCTTGCTTGATTTGACATCTGTTTGAAAACTTTGAATGTTGCATTATAAAAGCAGAGTACTAGATAAGACAAGCAAGTAACTTCAATGAGAGAAAGACCTGTGCCACAGAGAGTGGGGGTTCTAGAAGAATACAGATGCTTCGGAAGAGATTTTCATCATTTTCTCCACCTTCAGCCTCTCCATAAATAAGAGCTTCAGCGGCAATCCCAGCAAATAGAACCATGCAGTACCTGACAGTTTTATCTTTAATTATTTTGGTACAAGGAACCGCAGTAAGCAAAATGGCTGAAAGGGTTTCTTGATCTCATTTTTGTAAAGATTTGACAAGATTTTGTGCAAAACAACAATTAAATGGCTCGCAGAAAATCCATAGAGCTGGTTCCAGGATAGAAATGTATTTTGTCCAGGGAACTATTGTAAGCAAAATGACTGGCTTGGACGTCTACCTGTCAAATGCGGTACTACTTAACCGGCCTTCAGCAAGCTCATTTTGCAGTTTCTCATCCCAAAACTGAGTTCCTGCCTGCATGAAGGAAAAAAGAAAAAGAAAAAATAGAAACGAGCAAATTTTAACTGTTCAAATAATTCTAAAATGGGTCCACAACCTTCTGTATCGAAGATGAAACTTTGATTTCTAAGAAAATAAGAAGCTACAGATCTCACTATTTAAATTGTGAATTCTTCTCATGGAACAAGCGCACCCGCTACTGAGAAAAAGGAAAAATTGAGGCATGCCTACATAATTATGTTTCATTGTGCCATGTAGAAAAGCAATATTATAGAAGCCATTCAACCACCGTTCTGCAATAGACAAATACGGACTAGATAGCCGCAAGAGTCTACACTACACATAGCTAAAACTTGTTCTACAACTGGTCCACTTGAAGGGTATAAATTTGGGAACTTATTGAAGACAATAAAAATAGGTTGTATCCTGTCACGGCTTAAATTGTGGTACGGTGTGCGACATCTAATGGAATACTGTTTGTGCATGTTTAGTTAGAAATAATTGTCTAGAATTCCCATCTGTATTCTGACAATTGGTCCAGCATTACACTGTGAATCAGATAGACAATAAGAAGGATCTACAGTGAAATACCTGTCCTTGAATGCCCATCTGCATTGCAACAATGGGGTCTAAAATTACACCACGAATTGGACAACCCATCAGGTATGCTGCATTCATATTAGTGAACAAATGAATTACTATAAGAGGAAGGTTTACATTTCTTCTAATGTTACAGCCAATAAAGACTGAAAGTAATAGAAAGGGCTAGAACGATATTCTATGCATTTGGTGTTTGGGAAAACAAGGCTAATAATATCTATGGGCACGTCATCGTACGAAACTTAAGATCTCCAGAAGCACACATTATCCTAACTTAATCTCATGAAAGATGGATGAATCTAATTTCTGAAGTTATTTCATTCTATTGCAGTAAATTCTGTCAAGTGTTTATTGAAACAAGGTTTACCAACAAGGAGATGGCCTGCTTCGTGGACACAAATTCGACGCTTATAGGGAGGCCAGAAGCTGGAGATTTGTGCTAAGCAGGAACCACCAAGAACTATAGCATCTAGCATGGCAAGCCCCAAGACTGCCGCAATGTTCGGCCTAATATCTATTCCTTGATTCAGCAGAAGCGAAACTCCAGCAAGAGATGCAGCCAAAAGAAAGCTAGACGTTCCAGAAAGACCCCACTTCTTTGGCGAAAGTTTGGTCACTGAACTACATAAGAGTTGAAAAGCATGTTACTAAATCAGTATTTTCTCAATCTTGAAAAAAAGTGAGAAAAAGTAAAAACCAGAGTTTTTTTGTAAATACTCCATGTAACATGCAAAGGCAGACAGTTTAAGTGCTTCAGAGAGGTGGTAAGGATTAGCACTCACCATCTAAACCAGTTGAAGACTTTAAGACGGTTGGTGTGACATCCCTTGGTCCTTCCAAAACTGCATATATAGGCAATGTTGTCTGAATTTGTGACAAAAAAATATTGCAATATGGTGATATTAAAGGTGACAACTCTTTTGGAATGTGAAAAATATAGGCAATGTTTTCTGAATTTGTGACAAATAATCTATGATAACAGAATTATTTGACAACAAAATCAAGAACGTAGTTCTTTAATTTATACTGAAGTACGGTTTTAGCTTTATAGTTTAGTGAAGGAGTTGAGTGTGTGTGACTCTAGACTATGGAAGTGTGTAACAATAAAATAAAGAAAGAGATTAAGAGAAGGAAGTTCACTCTAGGAACCAGCAAATGAGTGTTTCAAAAATTGATGACATGGGAGCAGTAACTTTCAAGCAATTGACTCGAAATTGCCGAGGTAGAAATAGAACAGAGTGAAGCAGTTCACCAGTAAGACATTGATGAATTTCGAGACAATGTTGGGATCTTTTTCTAAGTATCTGTGGTATCTCTTGGGCAATAAAATAGTACAAGGGGCTTACTCGAGTGCTGGCAAGGGCATAGGATTCAGAAAAGCTTGCAGCAGATTTGGAATACTATTCCTATATGCATACTTTGGATCTTATGGCTGGAGAGGAATAGAGCTTGTTTTGAAGAACAAAGAGACCATATTTCTAGAATCAAGAACAAGTGTTTGCAGAATCTCTTTTTATGGCGTAAGGGTAGTCTTATTGGTAGCACAAATGAGTATATGGATTTCTTGGACTTGCTAGGGGGCAGACAGTAGATTTAATCTTTATGTTCTGATCTGCATTCCCTTTGTTATTGTACTACTTGTCTTATTGGTAACACAAATAAAACTTTTACCATTTCAAAAAAAAAAGAGGCACTGATGAAATATGCTCACTATTATTAGAAATGCGCAGCTGTGATTTATTGTTGTTGTGCAGCTATGATTTATAAATATATAAGGAAAAGAGGTTCCACAAAAAGAATTTTTATTTTACATGTCTAGGAAATACTATATCAAATAAACCGTGACAAAGAAGGTGGGGTTTATATCCAATTCAGATCCATAACTGCTGCGAGACTCTAATTCAGATTAGTAACTGCGAGAATAAGCCTCTTAACAAACCAAAAATGAGCAATGTTGCTTGACCGCTACATATACCAGCAATTCTTTTATATACTTGGAAATGTTGCAGTTAGGTGTTGCAACCAGCAGAAATTTGACAAACTTCCTGGTACAATCATCCTTAATCCATCAATCAGCATTAGTAACTCCAGGAACGTACAAAAATTGAAAATCGAATAACTAATGAAAGGACTGTCAGAGCATAAATTTACTAATATCGTGGCATTTCCTTAAAAAGCTGATTAAACTGGTATGCAGCAGCAAAATGATTCACAGCTCAATTTAAATTGTGCAGAAATAGTGGAGTAGAAGTTACCAATATTGCGGTAATTTCCGAAATTAGGCAAGAGACCCTTGTCCTTGAGAAAAGCATAAGCACTTCCAACAAGCCTCATATCATCAGCATTCAAACATGTATCCAAAACCTGCCAGTCTCTTTCCAGCCGAAACCAATCCAATTCCCCACCACCGGCACGTGTTGACGAGTCTTTGGGTTCTTCAATTGGAATGTCTCTCAAGAATCGGAGAGCTCGAGACAGGTCTTTGTCCTTTACTGCTTCCTCGTACTCTTGCCACTCCCTAACAGCTCTAATTATTGGGCGACGATGGCTTTTTCTATCATAGAATTGAGAAGAATACACCCGGCAAGGAGTTGGAATAGTAAACGCATTTGGGTAAGAGGTTAAATTATGCAGCGGAGTTAGGGCAGACCAATTTGGTGATGAAAAACGAAGTAGCATCATCGGATTGTTGTTTTGTGGATGAACGTACCGCGGAAGGACTAGCGTCAACCTCGACACAATTGCTGGTTCTTGATTCTTGAAACCCAAGCAATTTCAAGACCCGGTTCAACCCAAGCATATCATATATTTTCAGTTTAATCGTGTTATTCATATTTGTTATAAAATAAATATTATAATTATAAACTAAAGCACCAAAAGAGAAGTTGATAAGAATAGATAAGAGATGTAGAGAGGAGGAGGAAACTTTTTCTTATTTCAAGTATCTTATTATGTATATTCCATAGGAGAATAACATCCTATTTATAGGTTACAAATCTCTTCTCAAGTTACATGTATTAATCAACTCATTCGTTTAGTATTGAATTTGCCAAAGACAGTTACGAAGAGAACATCTACATACATTGAAAGTGACATCCACATACATTAGATTTATAATACTCCCCCTTGGATGTGCCTCGTTAAAACCTTACTAGGAAAACTCAATGGGAAAAATAAGCCTAGTGAAGGAAAAAGAGTACACATATCTTGTAATACGCATTGAGTGTTGCCTCATTAAAAACCTTACCAGGAAAACCCAATTGGGACAAAATATTGGTTAGGGAAAAAGAGTACAGGGCGTATTATACTCCCTCCTAATGAAAGCTTTATTTGATATCTCGGAGACGACGCATTCCAATCTTATGTCTCAGCTTCTCAAATGTTGATGTTGGCAATGCCTTAGTGAATAAATCTGTTAGATTGTCACTTGAACGGATTTGTTGAACATCTATCTCACCATTTTGCTGAAGATCGTGTGTGAAAAAAAACTTTGGTGAAATGTGCTTTGTTCTATCTCCTTTGATATATCCTCCTTTAAGTTGAGATATGCAAGCAACATTGTCTTCATACAATATCATTGGAATCTTCATTTTTAAAGGAAAGATCACATAATTTTTGAATATGTTGAGTCACTGATCTCAACCATACACATTCTCGACTAGCTTTATGAATAGCTATTATCTCTGCATGATTGGAAGATATAGTAGCTAAAGTTTGTTTTGTTGAACGCCATGAAATAGTTGTACCCCCACAAGTAAATAAATAGCTTGTTTGAGATCGGGTTTTATGTGAGTCAGACAAATAACCTGCATCTGCATAACCAATCAACTGTGAATCGGATTCACAAGAATAAAATAATCTCATATCAATAGTCCCTCGGAGGTATCTAAAAATATGCTTAATACCATTCCAGTGTCTTTTTATTGGAAAGGAACTAAATCTTGCTAATAATCTTACTGCAAAAGTTATATCTGATCGAGTATTATTTGCAAGATATATTGGTGCCCCAATTGCACTAAGATATGGAGTTTCATCACCAAGAAACTCTCCATCATTTTCATGAGGTCGAAATGGATTTTTATTTATATCAAGTGATCTCACAACCATCGGGGTACTCAATGGATGTGCTTTATCCATATAAAAATGCTTTGGAATCTTTTCGGTATAAGTTGATTGATGGACAAAAATTTCATCTTTTATATGCTCAATTTGTAGACCAAGACAAAATTTTATCTTTCCAAGATCTTTCATTTCAAACTCTTTCTTCAAACAGTCTACTGCTTTTGAAAGTTCCCCAGGAGTTCCAATGATATTTAGATCATCAACATACACAACGATTATAACAAATTCAGATCCAGACCTTCTTATAAATACACAAGGATAAATTTGATCATTATTATACCCTTCTTTCAGCAAATACTCACTCAGGCGATTATACCACATTCGCCCTGATTGTTTCAATCTATATAAGAATTTTTGAAGCTTTATTGAACAAGTTTCCCGAAAACTTTTATTAGTTTCAGGAACTTTGAGTCCTTCAGGGATTTTCATATAAATTTCGTTGTCTAATGTGCCATACAAATAGGCTGTGACAACATCCATTAGACGCATATCAAGTTTTTCATAGACTGCCAAATTTATAAGAGACATGAAAGTGATTGCATCCATCACAGGAGAATATGTCTCCATATAATCAATGCCAGGTCTTTGCAAAAATTCTTGTGCCACAAGTCGTGCTTTATATCTAACGACTTCATTTTTATCATTTCGTTTTCACACAAAAACCCATTTGTATCACACTGGCTTTATTCCTTCAGGTGTTCGGACTATACGTCCGAATACTTCATGTTTTTCAAGTGACGCTAATTCTGCCTGGATAGCGTCTTTCTATTTTTGCCAATCATTTCTCTGTCTACATTCATCGACAGATCTTGGTTCAAGAACCTCATCTTGTTGCATTATTTCAACAGTAACATTATAAGCAAAAATATTGTCGACAATAATATTATTTCGGTTTTACCTTTTTGCCTTAGAGACATAACTTATTGAGATCTGTTCATTCTTATTATTTTCAGGTACCTGGACCTTCTATGAGGTCTTATCATTTGTTATGTCACAGGGCTCTTTTTGAGCAATTACCTCCATATTATGAACTCCTAGATCATTTTCTCCTTTTCGCTTTCGAGAATTTTTATCTTTGGAACCAATTGGTCTACCACGTTTCAATCGTGGCTTAGACTCATTTGCATTTATAGATTGTCCAACCGGGACACAATTCGAATAGGAGCATTAACAGCTGGAATATGTGACTTAGGCACCCTTGGTAGGTTAGTGAATGCATCAGGTAGTTGATTTATAATATTTTACAAATAAATTATCTTTTGAACCTCGTGTTCACATTGATTTGTTCGAGGATCTAAATGAGATAGTGATAATGCATTCCAATCTATCTCCTTTTGCAGCTGCTTATTTTCTCCCCCTAATATTGGGTATACTGATTCATTAAAATGACAATCAACAAATCTTGCCGTAAATAAATCTCCAGTTATAGGTTCCAAATATTTTATAATAGAAGGAGATTCATACCCAACATATATCCCCAATCTTCTTTGGGGTCCCATCTTTGTGCATTGTGGTGGAGAAATTGGAATATATACTGCACATCCAAATATTCTAAGATGGAAAATATTTGGCTCCTGACCAAAAGCCAATTGTATTGGGGAGACTTTATGATAACTTGTGGGTCTGATCCGCACAAGAGCTACTGCATGCAAAATAGCATGGTCCCATGTCGAAATGGGAAGTTTTGTTCTCATAAGCATTGGTTTAGAAATTAATTGGAGGCATTTGATCAATGATTCCGCTAGACCATTTTGAGTATGAACATGAGCAACTGGATGCTCAATTGTTATCCCAGTTGTTATGCAATAATCATTAAAGGCCTGGGACATAAATTCACCAGCATTATCAAGACGAAGTGTCTTAATTGCATATCTGAAAACTGTGCTCTTAATCTTATTAATTGAGCTAGTAACCTCGCAAAGGCCAAATTGCGGGTTGATAACAAGCACACATGTGACCATCTTGTAGATGCATCTATCAAAACCATATAATATTTGAATGGTCCACATGGACCACATGGAGGGTGTATGGGCCCACATATATCACCCTGTATACGTTCCAAAAGTGCAGGACATTCAACTCCAACTTTAATTACTGATGGTCTAATAATCTTCTTTAGTTTGAAGAATCTTCTGGTTCTTCAATGAATGACCATGTGAATTCTCAATTATTTTGCGCATCATATTATAACCGGGATGGCCCAACCGGTCATGCCAAATAATAAAATTATTAGTAAACTCCTTGTTTACTATGGCATGTGATTCAACTATACTAATATTAGTGTAGTATAATCCGGAGGAAAATACGGGAAGATTTTCAAGCACATACTTTTTTTTTGCTTTTATTGTAGTAATATAAAGGTATTCAACCTTTTCTTCATTGGTGGTCTCAATATGATAGCCATTTTGGCGAATATCTTTGAAACTCAACAAGTTTCTTTGAGACCTACTACTATATAATGCATCATTAACAGCCAATATAGTTCCTCCTGGTAGTAATACACTCACTTTTCCAGAGCCCTCAATTAATTTTATACTATCGGATATTGTTATGATATTGGCTTCTTTCATAATTAAATAAGAGAAATATTTCTTATATTTTAATATGGTGTGCGTCGTAACACTATCCAGAAGATATATTTCTTCTTTATTATTTATACGGCCAACTGAAGATTGGAAAGTTTTCATATTCTTCATAAAGAAAAAAAAATACATCATAAGTAATATTGAAAAATTTAAGAACAAAAGAAACTATATTTAGGAAATTAAATACTGACAACATAAAAAGTTTTATTCAAAACATGAACTTCATAAAAAAAAATACATTTATTCTTATAATTTTTTCCAATAATAAGTCTTCAGTTATGATGCTCAAAAAAGTCTCCAGCTTCTAAATGAGTAATATCTGCAAGACCTTCAAAAATATCATCTTATAGGCAAGGTTTGCTTCAACTTTATCATGATTATTCATAGGGCCTGCCTCAACATCATTTTGAAAAGTCAAGTGAGTCTCAACTTTATTTTATTTCCCTTTTATAGATGCTTGATAAAGTTTGACAAAATATTCAGGTGTACGACAAATTCGTGCCCAATGATTTTTCATACCACATCGGTGGCAAACATTACCTTTGCCTTTCGAAGGATTATTCTGAGAATCCTTATTGTTCTCTTGTTTATAACGACCACCATCATGGCGATTGTTATTTCGCCCCTTGCCACGCCCACGTATATTTATACGGCCACGATAATTATTTTGTCTTTTTTCAGACTTTGGACCTATCGTTCCCAGATTCGCTTCTGGAAATGGAGTTGATCCAGTGGGGCGGGCTTCATGATTTTTTATTAAAAGGGCATTATGTTGTTCAGCCACCAAAAGGCATGAAATTAACTTAGAATATTTCTTAAAGCCCTTTTCACGTTGTAACACCATATTTGAGGCATAAAAAGTGGAGAGAGTCTTTTCCAGCATGTCCTCATCATTCATAGGTTCCCCACATAATTTTAGTTGGGAAATTATTCTATATACAACAGAATTATATTCACTTATGGTCTTATAATCTTGTAGTCGTAAGTGCATCCACTCACGACGAGCTCTTGGCAATATTGTGGCCTTTAGGTGGTCATATCATTCCTTCAAACTAGTCTATAATTGAAATGGATCTTTCAAGGTTAAATATTCACT